GATTGTCCATGATTGCCAGCAGTTTTGCCATATAACTGCAGCATCTTCTGTTTGACTCCAGCCGAGGACCTGTGTTTTCATTTCTGATCATCCTCTTCTGCATTTCCTGTCTGTATCTCTGCTATCACTGTCAAATAAAGGCAAACAACCTTAAAATAGTTTAAAGATTTGCATTCAGAGAAATTAAGTTGGTAGGGTTAGTAAAGGGTGAAGTGTTTTCTGATGTTGCTTTGTTCCTTTTAGAAATGTGATGAAGGTGTAAAGTACTTTTACATTATCTCTCAAACATCTAAAGCTGTTGGTGTATATCCCACCTTTCTCTTACTGTATTTATTGATAGAGATGTAATTACTAAGACGTACTCCTTTCTACCCACCTCCATGCTCTACCAGATATTAGGTGTTAGTGTCCAAATAATAGAAAAATGCAGTTACATTCTTGTGGTACAGACCTGTTTTTTTTTTTACACAAATGCTGGTTTCACAAGTGTCCATCTTCCTCATTAGGAAACTGGGGTTTTCTGTTACACTGAAAAAAAAAACAGCCCTTGTTTATTCTAGTCCTTGTCACCTGGACAAAGATACAAAGAGGAGATATAATGTAGAAATGTGGGACTGCAAAAGCTTTCTTGGCAGAGTACATTTATTTATAAAAAAAAAAGCAGATCTGTCTGATCTCAGTTAAATGTATAAACACTGCTAAACTACACTGTAAGCAAATTGTACCATCAGTCATCAGACTCCACAGTGTCACAGCACCCAGTACCTCCAACCTCCGCTCATTAATGGCTGCTAACTTAACTAAACTTGCAATAATTGCACATGCACACCACATTTCTATACTGCATACAGTGTATATATTTTAATTCTCGTCTATATTTTCTATTATATCTTTGAAATATTTTATTATATTTTTTACACTTCTGTACTTTTGCTCTACATTTCCCCTGTGCTCCTTTGTCAGACAGAAATTTCTCCCACGGGGGATCTATAAAGGAATATCTTGAATGATTGGAAGAAAACAGATTGACACACATTTAAAGCATACATACAGGCAGAGCCTTGATGCATGATTGTATTTGAGCTTAGTTTTCCCTTTATGTCCCATTACAGCCCCTGTATTCTCTTATCCATATACTCTGTACATGTACTGTAGATTTCAGTCATGTAGTCACACCATAAAGATAGATTTTCTAATGAAAGTACAAGAAAAAAGAATTAAGGACATTGCGAAATTCACCAGGATGGGGACAGGCCCAGAATTGTATTTATATTTAATTAATTTATATTTATTTTAATAAGTGCCATAAGTGCACGCCTCCCCAGCCTTATCTATGAACCCTTCCCTTGATAAACAAATTGACATCAACTTGAGGACAAAGGTTAATACAACCAAAATACTGCAAAACATGACAACTATATACAATTAAAAAGGTAAATTGATATGTTTAAATTTAAATACAAATAAATGAACTACATATGTGAAGTTTTGGCAGTACAATTTATGTTTCAGAAACTGCTTTCAAATAATGATTTATTTTATGTGAGATTTCCCAACTATGTCACATAATAAGTCACATTTTGGACAAAATTAAGCACAGCTATTATTAATGTCAGTAAATCTACTAACCACGCTGGGATATATTCTTGAAGCTATTTAAAAACATTCTTTTATTTTGTCGGTCGTACACTTTTAAATGCATTTTATTTTCTTGCTACAAATCAGTTTTGCGTGAAGTCGTCACTTCCGCTCACGCTGACTCCGGCTTGCATCATTTCTCGTCTCTCTCTCTCTCTGAGCAGCCGGGGGCAGACAACATGTGAGTACACCCATTCAAACTTAATAATGCCAACGTAAAGGTTTGACTGCAGCCACACTCCGCTGTACAGCTGCTGGTTCATGTGAGCGTCCGGTCGCTGCCTTTAAATAACTTTACGCTCCGTTTAGCTTCGAGATAACTCACTGAAACGTTGACCGGATAGCTTAGCCCGCTAGCCAACAACAAGGAGGCGTCAGTCTTGTGAAGTAAGTGCTGTGTAAAAAAAAAGAAAAAAAAAAGTGACTTACTGGGTGTTAGTAACGGGTTTTGGAAAAGTTTCTGCGGTTGCATGTGGGACTTGGAGATAATGTTTTAGATAGGCTTGACTTTAGCACTTAACATGTTGAGGAACTGGAGAAACTATCGAGCACTGACAGGTTTTTGACAGGTTTTTGACCCTTAAGGATCATCTTAATGCTTGTTGTTGTTTACTTATAATGTAATTTCCATTTGACCAACAAGTTATATAGTGTTGTGGATGAGTGGTTTATTTAGTATTAGTTAAGTTGTTTGTAATAGAGAGAATAATGCATATTTCAGTGGGCAATACTTTATTGATATCATAGCTTTAAGGGGGGGGGGACATTTATTTATCGTGTGATTTTCGTGACATTAAACATTGTGATTTATTTCCGTGTCTTCCTGCACCACAAGTCGGTTGAGTTCCGTGTTTATTTTGGCAGACACCATGGTGGAGCCAGTCCCTGAGTCCATCAACTTTCCCTTTGAGGAGGAGAAGATCTTGCAGCTTTGGCAAGAAAAGGACTGCTTTCAGGAGTGCCTCAAACAGTCCAAGAACAGGCCTAAGTAAATCCAACTCTCAATGGTTTATAATCATTAACTTGAGCAAAATATATCCCCACAACAACTTGTCGAAGCATAAGATGAGTGTGCAATATTGTGAGATGTATTTTCTTATGATAAAATATATAAAAAAGAATAAAAATATGCACAGTGTAGTATGATGTTACTCCTTTTAAAAGTAATGATACTAAAATATGCTTTTCGTATTTAGCATTATAGGTGTTGCGCTTCCAAAAAGTGTCATTTCCTGGCTAACCAGTTGTTGTTAGACTCCATTGTATTCTTTCAGATTTTGATCCGAGCGTCAGTACTTGTCCATCACCTGAAAGCATGTAGTGCCAAACAATGGAACATTAAAATCAGCTTTAAGAATCGATGCCAATGTTATCATTTCAAGTCAGCCAGCACAAACATTAAACATAAAGGAACAAGAAAGTTTGGTTTATTTTTATCACGTTAATTCCCCACAATAATAAGAAAAAGGGTGGGGAAAGAATAGTCCACATCTTTGTGTCATAATGGCTTCACTGATGTGAAAATACACATGTAAATCCCTCCTTGTCTCTTTTGTTTAGGTTGAAGAGGATTTGTACGTTAATTACCTTTCAACATTATATTGGTTTCCTTTTTAGCCAACAAAAGATTAAATGTCATGATGACTCTCACCACCACTGACAGAGATTAAATATTTGCTAAATGAAACTACCAAGTTAGATATCAGCACATAAGTGAATTTGTAACCCCCAAACAGTCGTTTCTGTTCTCCCATACTCACTGTTGATCAGATATATGGCCTATAGATAAGCAGTAAAGATGCAGAGTCATCCTGTATGAAACAACCATGAATACACTCATATAATGTAGCAGTGTTAATGTTGTGTTTCTGTTATCTTGCACACTTAGTTGAGAAGAAGCTTTTTCCAGACATCATAGTCTTATCATTTTACATTCAGCTGTTTTTGTTAACAGTAAGAAAATACTCCAGACCTTTTAAAAGGTTTTTGCCACCCTTTTTCCAACCAGGTACACTTTCTACGATGGCCCTCCTTTTGCCACGGGCCTACCCCACTATGGGCACATCCTAGCCGGCACCATCAAGGACATTGTTACTCGCTTTGCCCACCAGAGCGGCTTCCATGTAGACCGGCGCTTTGGCTGGGACTGTCACGGACTGCCTGTGGTAAGAATCTGTCCTCCTGAATATTGTTAAAATCAAATTTTACTGAAAAGTTGTGCGTAGATTTACAGATTTAGTTGTATAAATATGTAATTGTCTCATGTTCTGTGTGTTTTTTGTAGGAGTATGAGATTGATAAAACTTTGGGGATCAAAGGGCCAGAAGACGTGGCCAAGATGGGCATCGCCGAGTACAACAAGCAGTGCAGAAACATTGTCATGAGATACTCCAACGAGTGGGAGGTGAATATACAAGAAAGGATAATATCCTCATTGTAGCCATACTTGTGAGACCAGATTTTTTGGTTCTTTTTTTTTTTCATCTGTTAGCATATCTGACAGTTCATTGAACCTGCTCTAAAATGTAGTGAGGCTCCACCCAACCTAAATATAATAGTTGATAGGGAGTTGTCAGGCAGAATTCTTTTTATATGCCATTTGTTTTTTTTTGTTCCAAGATTTCAGTGAGGCGAATGGGAAGGTGGATTGACTTCAAGAACGACTACAAGACTCTCTACCCATGGTTCATGGAGACTGTCTGGTATGAATGCCAAATTTGCCAAATTTGCCATCTTATATGTAAAAGTTTTGGCTTAAAGAATAAAGATACATAATCTGGGGTGCCCGGTAGCTCACCTAGTAGAGCGTACGCCCCGTGTACTAAGGCTGAGTCCTTACCACAGTGGCCCTGCTTTGATTCCAACCTGTGGCCCTTTGCTACACTTTCCTGTCACTCTTCAGCTACTCTGACAAAAAAAGGTAATTAAAAAAAGCGCAAAAAACATAATTAAAAAGTTTTGTATTTTCGTTTAATACAAGAAATAAATTTGTTGATCTACTAATTGCACAAGTCTTTTTCATCGGAGATCACTTCTGATTTAAAGTATCTACTCCACTTTAACTTGATTATTAACCACTTAGGACACAGTAGTACACAGATGACAATGAATAACCCCCGTCTACTTCCAGTAAAACACTTAAAGCAATATATAATAGAAAAATGCAATACCAGACTTAATCCACGTCCCAAGACTGTCCTCCTGAGTGAACGTTGTCTCGCCTTCCTTTTTTTGTTTTGTCATGCATCTTCTGTTCTTTCAGGTGGGTGTTCAGACAGCTGTACGACAAGGGTCTGGTTTACCGAGGTGTTAAAGTCATGCCATTCTCCACTGCCTGCAACACACCCCTGTCCAACTTTGAGGCCAACCAGAACTACAAGGTTGGCACACATCACACTGGTCTAATGCAGCACTCGTAACAAAATGTACTCTTCGACTTCTATCCATCTAACCTATTAATATATGTTTCTTTTTTGCCTCCAGGACGTTCAGGACCCATCGGTGATTGTCAGCTTCCCATTGGTTGAGAATGAGGAAGTGGCTTTGATCGCCTGGACGACCACACCCTGGACACTGCCAAGCAACCTGGCCCTCTGTGTTAACCCAGAGTTCATATATGTCAAGGTCAAAGGTGAGAAACAAAGCTTGACACAAGTGCTGTGTCCCAATTTTATACAACATACTAATTATATGCAATACATACTACGTGCTAATCTTTTTTCTTGATGAAAATTTTATTGATACCAATGCTACTGTCAATTCTGTTTATTCGGTCTAATTCTTTATCGATCCATTTTCTGTGTGGAAACCCCCCCCACAGGTTTTCAGCATCAACGCAGCTGTTTTATTATCTGAGTCTGAACACAGTGTAGAAACAGAGTGGGGGAAAAAGGCATCTATATGACTCAGTTTAACCGCTTTTTAATTTGGAAACTGTTCTCAGTTCCCATCCCTAAATATTTGTACAGGATTTATTTTAATTTAGATTTTTGTTAGTCAAAGATTCTGCTAAGCCTGTTTGCGTGGCGCATGATATTTATCCTCTAGCAGATGTGCTGCTCAGTTGGGAGGCAGTGGTACTTGTGTGTACAGATATTTTTGGTGTTTCCACCCTTACTTGAAATTATACTCAACTACTGTTGTCCTCTTTCTTTGTGAAATGAAGCCACACTTTATACTGCTTCTTCTCCTCCGCCATGTCACTGTTTTGAAATGCGGAACTTTCAGAAAAACTGATCGATAAAAGAAATTGATAACCTCGGAGGCATAGAATTCTGATGGATCAAAAGAATTGGAACCGGTTCTTATTTTTTTTTATAGTATACCTTTAACACTAACAGGACATTATATAATACTTGGGCTGTTGGCTGTCAATCGTCAATCAAAACGTTTTTCTAACATTTGTTGTTTTCCTGGAGCTGTTTCACCCCCATCAGTAGTTAGTTTTAATTTATTTCCAGCTGTGAGTAGCTCATCCATTTCCTTTGTGCAACAAATCAACAGCACACTCAAATATCAAGGTTGTTTTTGTAAGTATGCATATTAAGTGCTTTGAGTACATTTGTTTAGTCACTTTTCCAGTGTGAACACATTACATACTCAAAGCCTGCTTAGAGTTGGTGTGTAGTATGGAATTACACAGCTTTAGGTTTTTGAAAATCAGGCTTTGTTCACCCATGCTGTTATAAACAACCACTGATGTGCTGACTGGGACTGAATGCTTCTCTGCAGAGCTTGTTGGTCTAAAATCTTATGTTCAAATAAAATTGGGTCTCAGTGTTATCACGCGGTCAGAATGCTTTCAGGTTATTGTCAAGAAACAGTATTATTTTGTCGTCGTCTGCTCCTGCCCACAAACATGTTTGTGTTGTGGATTACTTGAATGACCAGGATTGGTAGTTTTGTCGAACGCTGTTGCTTAAATGCTATAGCCTACGGCCAAAGTTATCTGACTGAAAATCTTGTTTCCCTTGTGGGTTTACTGTGCAGGACCACAGTATTAGCTGATGGGTGTTTTTATTCAGTAAGAACAAACAAGAACAAATTAACAGAGGAGGAGTGCTGCCTTGGCAATTTGCACACAGAAGAAAGGATGTCTGCAGCATAATGTGTGTGTGGACTTTCTAGCCTTTGGCTATGTGTTAGTTGGTGAAATAAGATGAGGGTGGATCTGTGAGTGGAACTTTGTTTTTATCTACAGCTAACCAGATGCTTCACATTCATGAGCTGTAACTTGGTGCTAGGGCGGAGCTGATGTTCACTTAGGCTCATTAACAACATTGTTTGACGGGTAACAGATAAAGTTGTGTATTACCTTTGCTAATAGATTCTGAATAGGAATCGCATAATGTTTTTTAAAGGCACAATCTGTGGTCCAAACCTAACCTGAAACAATGCAATAAATTCTACCTTCTTTAAGGTAATAATGAAACCATTTTAAAGAGGTGTTGATTTTAAAGGTGGAGTGTGTAACATTTAGGAAGATCTGTTGGCAAAAAACAGACTATAATATGCTTAACTATGTTTTCATTAGTGTACAATCAACTGAATATAGAATTAGTTTTTTTTTTTACCTTAAAATTTGCCTTTTATAGATTTCCTTCCGGTTCACCTTGTTGAAACTCCAGGTTTCTACCCAAGAATACCAATTCAATCATTTCTTTGCTTACTGTATACATATTTATTAACAACATAATTCACATTAGGAGACTGACAGTTTTTCTGTAAATACTTGTATTACATGCCATTAGATGCAGAACATTGGGAGTGTTACAGTGAGCACACCAGGAAACTGAAGCAGCTAAATGGAATTCAGCCATCATTCATTATTATAACACTATCCCTACTGTGACAATGTCTGTCCATGAAAATGGGGAGGGCCTATCAGCTTGTTAATTAAACCAGCAGTTTGATGTGTGTGTGTGTGTGTGTGTTGTGTTGTGTGTGTGTGTGTGTGGTGTGTGAGTGTGTGAGAGTTGTGTGGTGTGTGAGAGTGTGTTGTGTGTGAGAGTGTGTGTGTGTGAGAGTGTGTGTGTGTGTGTGTGTGTGTCAGACCCGAGAAATGTGGATGAACCTCAAATCAGGTCACTTAAAAAAATGTTGTCCTTGTTCAAATATATATTAAAAAAAGATACTCCAGAGAGGTGGCTGGTGTTTTTCTGTTACCCTCCCGCTGTAGTCTTTGGTTCCCTCTGAGAGAAACTTGTGGGTTTTTAAAGGGATGACCTAGATTCATACCAGTTTGTCATAGCCTTGTCGGTCCTGCAGGGGGCACTGTTGAAGCACAGTCTGTCACTCCTAACTGCACCGCCTGTGCTGTGCTGCATGGAAGACCGCCTTGGAATACCAATGAATTTTTTTTTTCTTTTCTTATATCAGCTCAGTCTCTCTTTTTATCTCCCGTTCTCTCCTGCACACTCACTCCATCTTCATCTAAATTCTTCCCCCTTCATTTTCTTATCTCTCTCTCTCTCCACATCCACCTGTTTTCATCTTTCATTGTTCTTATATTCTCTCAGTCCGTCTCATTCTGGGTGTCTCTTTCCCTCGCTGCCTTTGTCGCTATTTGAGTTGAGGGCTGTCAGCAGCAGCAGGTCTGAGCTGTGCAGTCATTTGTCACACCACTGAGGGGAAGAAACATCTTTTATTGATGCTGCCCCCTTCTCTCTCTTTTTGTGTCTCACTGTCTCGGGCCATTTGGTTTTTGCCCTCTTCACAACTGTTGTCCCTGCTGTTCTCAAACCCTCCTCTCCCTTTTCTTTGTCCCAAAATCCCCATTTGGCCAGTTTTCCAGGAGGGCTCACTTTCCCAAAATATCAGCCAGTTATCCTACATGAGGTGGCAACTGGTTGCTTTTCAATGAGCTCAGTTGCTGGTTGAATGGGTGTAGTCACATGATGGGGCCCTAACCTGACCTTGGCTTTATGGCTGACTGTATTACTATGAAGCAGGACTTGACATTGAGGTTTAGACTTGCATGTAGCCTAGCTATTAGGTACCTGGATTTGAACCATGTTTGATGAGTTGCTCTTTGTCATACTTGAAATTCTGGTCAGTAAGCATAAATCATTCTGCAGGGGCCATTTAGATGACAGACTTTAAAAAATGACCAGAGCGCCTCCGAACGAAATCTTTCCACATTGTATCGATCAGAATCTTCATTCGCACTTCATTTACTGTGAGGTTTGAAAGCTCTAAAGAAAAGAAAAACGGGGTCAATAGAAACACAACGTCTTGACACACATTTTTCAGCTATACCACAGTCATGTTAGGACTTACTTCATATTCACCTTTTTAGACTACGACATAACAGTGATCGAACAATATGGGTTTCAATGGCCGATGCAAATATTCAGCAAGAAGGGCGACTGATATATCGGCCAATATCAAAATTAAGTCATGTATTTTTCCATTATTCTACACACATTACAATGTAATATACATGGTTTTGTAGCCAGAAATGTGTTGTTTTAGATAGAATATTCAATTATTAATGAAATAGAAAGATACATTGAGTTATATTGTAGATTTCAAAATGTGATTAGTATTTAAGGGAGAGTGGGTTACAGGACAGGTACAGTAGAAACATGTTGACATTTACAAAAGATGATTGGGACTGAGGAACTTAAGGAAAACGTTTACAGCAGGATGCATTGAGACTGATAATACAGGGCTACAGGGCTTTTTTGCCACCTTCCCAAAACTCAAAAAAGAAGGAGTGCTAACCAACCAAGACACTGACAGGACTATAGATGTGTCTGAAGACATTTTTTGTTTATCAACCTTGTGAGCACAGGCATTGGTCGATCCCAATTATCTCAAAATGCCAGATAATTGGCCCGATTAATCTGCCACAGGATATCTATAGTCATAAATATTGCAGACAGTACAACACAGTAAGTCTTTCCCTTTCCCTTTACGCTATTCAGCAAATATTCACTTTTTTTTTTCTTCCAGTTCAATCCCCCGACTGTCTCTTTGGCCTCATATATATTGTATCTGTATCTTTATGTCTTCCTGTTTGTTTTGTTGTTTTGTTTTTGGCCTCTTTGCCCTTTTTATGCTTTATGGAACAATGAATATACAAATAACAGCATTTTAGTTTGGTATGTGTCTGAGTAGTAATAAAAAAAATAACAATGAGAGATGGGATGTGTGAAAACGTAGTCAACACGCATTCATGTGTGTTTTTCTGTTCATCTCTCAGATAACGCCACAGAGAAGACCTACATTATGATGGAGGCCAGGCTGGGTGCTCTGTTTAAGTCTGAGAGTGAATATACTGTCCTGGACAAGTAAGTACACAAGACCCTAAAAGACTTGGAAGACAAGACAGTGGAAGTCAAAATACATGTTGTATTAATTGTTCATTGCTGTCTTGTTGCATCGCATATCCTGTGAAAGGTTTTCTCCTGAGTATAACTTGTCTGCCAGAATTAAGAGACACAGATAAAGTTCCTCGCAGGAGAATTAGCAGATGTGAATATCCTGATTCAGTGGATGATTCTGGAGCAAAGGGAAAGTGCAGAATGAAGCAGGGGATAAAAATAAAGAATACAAAGGGTAGTGAAACCTGATGGAAAGGTTTATACTCACTCATCTCATATACTGGACAAATTAACTGGCAATAAAGAAGGCATATTAAAAAAATGTGGCAGGGATTTCTTGTTCTATAAAGTCCCCATACACAGGCGCAGAGACGTCTTTATTCGAGTGATTATTACAGAAACAGTGTATCATGACAAACCTAAACCTTAAATTGAGATCTCTGGAGATCCCGAGGATGTTTTTGTCCCCATCAAAAACAAAAAGAAATATGGGAATGCTCAAGGAGAAACCATATCCCATCCAAGAAAATTGAATTTCCATAATGACCATCACAGCGGTGTAGGTTTGGTTTCAAAAGTGAGAAGATGCTTAGTCAAAGTTTCTTCAACAGTAGAACAAAGAAAACCATGAAATTATGTAAATCTGGAATTATACATACTCATATCAACCTTGAGAACAACACCATTATTATGACATTCTTTACAAAAAGGTATACAAAAACATTTCGACATGCCATTTAAAAACTCAAAATCACATTTAGGTTTTATTGATGGAGACCTCACACTTTATCTTGACACAAAAGAGCGCTGTCTTTGTTAACTTATGTAATATTTAACATTTCAGTGATTTTCAACTCTAGTATGTTTTTATGTGTTTTAATGTGTTTTTATGTGAATAGTATCTGTCAACAAAAATATATATGTCATGAGTTTAAATCACTACTTTAGTCCAGAAATCTCAGACATTTGTGATTTCCACAAGATGAGTCCTGCTGACTTCAGAGATCCCCAGACCTTTCCTCTAGCGCCACCATGAGGTTGAGATTCTGGGCTTTGAGTGAAATGTCTCAAATATTCTTTGATAGATTGCCATGAATTGGTTCCAACATTCATGCTAATTAGCAAATGTTAGTATGCTAAAATGCTAATGACACCATTTTGGTCAGTGTTTTCTGTATTTGAAGTGTTGCCTATCTGTTATCAAAAGTTGTGGATTTACACGTTTTCTGCCGGTTTGTCAGTGCAGGGAATTAGAGATATTGATATTGTGTTTTGTGCTTTTAGATTTCCTGGCAAGACGCTGAAAGGGAAAAAATACAAGCCTCTTTTCCAGTACTTTGCCAAGGTTTGTAGACTGTGTTCTTGTTCCTGGTTGTTTCATGAAGACAGATCTATGTCTCACTATAATTACCTGTCTGCCCACAAATTGGCATCTCAGTTTACATTTTCTAAATCTGTCTCTTAATCTCTCTCTTACTATCTGTGGCTTCTTTTTCTTCCTCACCGCCCACCCAACCCCCTACTTCATCTAATTCTCCTCGTCCTGGTTTCACTTCAGTGTGTCGAGAAAGGAGCATTCCAGGTGTTGACTGATAACTACGTCAAGGAGGAAGACGGCACAGGAGTGGTCCACCAGGCACCTTACTTTGGAGCTGTAAGTGAGCCGTTTTCCTCCTTTCATTTTTCAGTCACTGTTGTAACCACAGAGTGGTTTACGTAGTGTCTTCTACTACCATTAATACTTTTTTTTGATCAAGAGATGAATCTTTTGGTTAATAAAATGTTAAAAATATAAATGATAAAATAATAAATGCCCATTGCTATTCTGATTGTGACCAAAGAAACTCAAACACATTAAAGTTACATGGATTGATGATTGAAACAGAAAACAGCAAATTACTCATTAATAGTCAGGTATTAGTTAATCCATGATAAAACATCTGCAAGTATTGGGAAATTAGCACCTCCTAACAACAACCAAGACTCTTAAAGATTAAGACAAGGCAGAGACTAGCTGAGTACAAGATGTATACATCAAGCTTTAAATGTAGAATTGCAGCTTTAGTGGACTGTGGTGGCTAGTTTGACCTGTGTGCAGCCCTCACCATTGATCCCGTCTTTCACTGTCACACATGCCACTGTCGATCTCACTGCGCCCACCCTCCTCCCTTTAATTATACGTCACTTCATTTCCTCGAGTTGAGAATTGTACTTTTGAAACGTTGCTTTTAGTAAGTCTGATTGCCCGTTGCTGCAGATGCTCATATGGTGCACTCTCAGTTGGAAAACAAGGTCACCTTTGTCGAGTGTAACTCTGTGCTTAAAAAAGTGTATCCAGAACTGTTTGGTCTATCATTTCCTCTAAAAGCATTGCCTTTACCATTATAGCTTCAGTTATGATCTATTTCTTATGTTTTCTGATTTGAGGGTTTTGCTCCTGTATACTGGAGTTAACACATGCAGACATTGATTTATATGCCACTCTAAACGAGTTTTGTTCATAATTAACAATGACAGCAATGATATTTTTATTAATCATTAATACATTTTGTGGTTTAAAAACTCGAGGCCAATGCATTTTATCATGACTTATCGGTATTGTTTGGGCAAACCATTTAATTAAGAATATTGTTGCACCTTCCATCTTGTTTTCCTGATTATTCTTATGTTTTGAATACATTTGGTGTACTGTACTCACTGCTTATTGAAGAGAATTTAATTATTTGTATTGAACGCTACAGTATCAATGTTTTCCCACAGTCTAGAGGCCAATGTTACAGCACTATCAGAGGTATTGGGTCATTGCTAATAGGTTAGACGCCCTTGTCAAGGGCAGATGGACGCGCCTGTGGCTGTAGCCAGCTGTGGACACACTCAGTCTTAGCTTTCTCTTTTGCACTCTCTGCCTGTTTCACTTGAGCTCAGTCCCTATGGGGTTTTTGAGTAAACCTTTCACATCAGCATCTCACTTACATTTGCATTTAAATTATTTTTTTAATTCTGTTTTTTAGTGATCACATTCACATTGATTAGTTGGTGAAAATCTGAAACACAAATGCATTTCCTCTGAAGATATTAACAGTGAGAAGAAATGTGTTGCAGAACTACATTTTTCAAATGTTATGTTGTTATGACTAGATGTGAAATGACCCTGTGTGCCATCCATCTTGATCTTGACAGGGTGTTTGAATACAAAATACATTTACAGCTGGACAGCACTCATATCTTTCATGCATAGCTGTCACATACCAGCGCTGCTTGTTTCAACGCTGCGAAAAGTGTCCAGCTCAACAAGGAATTCAATATGAAGTCATAACATATCTTTAAACTAGCGTCACTGGCTGGTAAACGCGTTAGGTAATTACTTATTTTCATATACAATTTGATGTATTTGGAGAATATTATTTAAACAAATGACCCAAGCTTAAAATATATGACTCTCTGTATCAAGATAATGTTAATTACAAACAGATTTCAAGAGATTAAGTTTACTATAATATAAGACTTAGAAATTATTGCCAGTTAATTTTCTGTCAGTCAACAAATTGATGAATCGATTAATCATTTCAGCACTAGTTACAATGTTTATTTAATTTACAGTGAATTACATCAGAAATAAATAGGAAAATAGGAGTACCGTCACTCACTAAACCCTTCTAATTGTGTATTACTCTTTCCGTAGGATGATTACAGGGTGTGCACAGAATTCAACATCATCCGGAGGGACCAGGCTCCTATCTGCCCTGTGGACGCCTCGGGCTGCTTCACTTCAGAGGTCACTGACTTTGCGGGACAGTATGTCAAAGTGAGTGACACATCAGACATTTACATGTAGATTAGGTTAGCAGACATTTCAGGCATTCTACCCCTGGTAAGAGTGACTGATAGGATACACAGGATACATTTCTCAATGATATTGATTGCTAGTTTAATTCAGCATTTAATTTCTCACATTCTGGGCACCCAGTCTCCTATTCCTCTGTTTTTCCTTTGTTTATATCTGGAAAATACATCTTTCTATAATGGTCTTTTCCTCTTTCATTCCAAACAGTTGCACTGAAATGTGCCCTTTCTTCTTGGTCAGGTTTACTACTTATAATAACATATAATTATGTGGTAAGTCAAATGAGAACACTTTTCAATATTTTACAAATTATATTTTATATTTATTAATATCACAATTAATATACATTTATATATGTATATTAATAAATATATATATATATATATATATAAATAATATAATATAAATAATATAATTATTCTTTAGGTACATGACATGAGTTAATGGAATCTACATCAAACAAAGTTGTGTAGGAAAACCTGCTGCCAAAGCACATCGTCCTTGTTTACTAATGCACTGGGTGCCCTCTTTCTCCATGTCACACCCAACTTCATTACCATCTTAAGTGGATAGTGAGTGAAAAATAACAGTCATACATGATCTGATCACTATTTCACATCCTGGCGCAAAGGCCAGGGAGTGGACTCGACCCATATGGCCACTAACAGTACAGCGTTAGCTAATAAAGAGCGTGCAGCTACAGTTCACTGAAAGTCTGTCATAATCCCCTTTTGAAATATGTTAAAACCAAGCGCGAGTTTCAAGACTGTCTGAGACATTCTTTATTGCCGTATAAAAACTCAGAGGTGATCTGTGGGAGCGTCAGTCGCAACACGGGCTACACAAAGAGAAAGGCGAGAGAGCAGCTGTTCCTCTGTTAAGAAACAAACCCAGTGTTTTACACAACATGAGAGCTGCGTCTTACACCCAGAAGAGCCTGCAGGTTAGCGGCTCCAGTGGCAGAGTAAGGGTTCAGAGCCCGTCGCCTTCCCGGTGCCGTGGATCCTCATTTGACAGCCGTGGACGCTCAGGTTATCGAGGCACTGCCATCGAGGTGGGCACAGAGATACATCAGCAACATGCCAACGAGAAAGAGGAGATGCAGGAACTCAATGTCAAATTTGCAGGATACATCGAGAAGGTCCAGGCTTTAGAACAGAGAAATGCTGCTCTCAACGCTGAGCTGGCTGCACTGCAGAGCCGCTACAAGGGAGGTCCCACAGGCCTCGGAGAAGAATATGAGCTCAAGTTTAAAGAGGTGCGGGACCTGATTGAAGCCCTGACTAATGAGAAGGGGGCAGCGGATATAGAACGAGGCTACATCGAAGAAGAAGTTGAAGTGTGGAGACTAAAGCTGGAGGAGGAGCTGGCTCTCAAAGAAGAGGCAGAGATGATCCTGAGGGAGTTTCGCCAGGATGTTGACAATGCCACACTGCAGAAGGCTGAGCTGGAGAAGCGTATAGAGCAACTGGTGGCTGAGATAGAGTTCCTCAAGAAGTTGCATGATGAAGAGGTGGCTGACCTCATGAAGCAGATTGAGGACTCAAAGATTACTGCGGATTTGGATGGCGATCGGCCTGACCTTGCTGCTTATCTGCGCAACATGCGCGCAGAAATAGAAGCTGTCGCTGCCCGCAATGTCCAGGAGGCTGAGAAGTGGTACAAGAGCAAGTTTGATACCCTGAAGGAGCATGCTGGCAAACACGAGGAGCAAATGAAGACCATGAAAGACGAGATTACGACCTTCCACAACCAAGTGACAGACCTGCAGAACCAGATTGATGGTCTGAGGGCTCGCAACGCAGCCCTGGAGCAGCAGCTGGAGGAGATGGAGATGTCCCACATGGATAAGGTCGGGGGTCTCGAGGGTGTCATTGCTCAGTTGGAGGCCCAGCTCTGCGAAACCAAACTGGAAATGACCAAGTATCTCCAAGACTACCAGGAACTCCTGCACATTAAGCTGAAGCTGGATGCTGAGATCGCCACCTACAGGAAGCTGCTGGAAGGGGAGGAGCATAGGCTTGGGATTGCCAAAGATGTCTAAATATCCAGGATGAAAGGAGCCACAAGTCCAAAGCAGCCACAGAGAAGACCAGCAGAGCAGTATGAAGCAGAGAGATCAGCTCATTATAGTGAAAAAGACTTCCCTATCTTACCCATTCTTTCCCTATTTTACCATCCCTTCTCCCAAGGTCTGGGTATGAAATGTTTCGCTACCAATGCCGATTTGACCCGAGTGTCAGTACGGACACCAACATTTGCCTAAATAGAATATTCTAAAATGTTGCGATTAATTCTTATTCAGTTAAAAAATCAGGAAGAACCTGATCAAAAAATAAGGAAACAAGATTATAAATCTGACCAAACATTTGATGCTAGCTTTCTGTACTTGACAATTTTGCATACTTGGTGCTAGAGACACATTTTGCTCGGTACCCAAGCAGTACTGAGGTTTGATACCCAGCCCTTACTTACTTTACCACACCCTGACCCCATTATGCTTATGTCTTTGCTTACAATGTCTGCTTGCTTCCCAGTCCTTCCCAGTCCATTTTACTCTTGCCTTTTCCTAATTAGCTCCACCCTGTCTCCTCCAGTACAGGTCTCCTTAGTCATAGCCTGTACTCCTTTCCCTATAGCACCACAGCACTGAATCCACCTTCCCCTTTTTCCCTGTCAAATCAACCCCTGCTACGTCTGATCATTTTTCTTCGTCACTGCTTCTTTTAAAACAACGTCAAGATCCCACCTCCTTTAGAAAAAACACTTTGTCCTGCTGTAATGTCTCAACCCGAAAAGCAGAACAAATGCCATTAGTGTTATCACTGGTCTTTACATTGCCCCTGATTATTCCAAATGTTTTGACAAGACACAACTATTGACCATTTACACTAATGTAACTACTGTTCCTTAATAAAGATTGAAGTGAGTGCATACAAAATAATGCATTGATCATTTTTCTTTCTCCTGTCTTTAATGTCTTTTCTTACTAGTCTGTACTGTACAACTGTTTTTTAACTGTCTTGTTCTCCGTCTGTTTCCTAGCCATCTCTTCACTTTCTCCAACCCTCATTTTAACCCACAACACATGAAATGTGCTGAAGTCGGGTCCAGTAAATTACAATAATATATTATATATTATATTATATATTATATTATTATAATATTATTAATATTATATTATTATATAATAATAATATAATATTATTAATATTATATTTATTCTCTCGATGGGTTGCAGG